ATATAATTTTTTATATAACAATATATTACATATATTATTTATATAATAATATATTATATATATTTATGTCTAAATTTAAATCATAACGCCTCATGTAGCAATGTGGTTAGTGTCTTCTTTTGTATAGATTTGATCCAGGTTCGAATCCCACACATTACATCTATTTTTCTCAATTTTAGATTAACGAGCCAATTTCGAGCCGAACACGAACACAAATATTTAAATCGAGCCGAACACGAACACACTGTTCACGAGCCGATTTCGAACACGAGCCGATTTCGAACACGAGCTATTTCGAACGAGCCGAACACGAGCCCAGCCTGAGCTCGCTCAAGCTCGGCTCGTTTACAGCCCTAGTCTCCAACACACCCATAATAAGTGAGATAAGGAAAATATTTTGTTTGATATACAAGCTTTGACATGTGGTGCTGATAACCAACGAAAAGGAAAATTAGTTCCTGCAGAAGTCAAAGCCACTCCTGGAAGCTGAACGTCAGCTTTAACAGATGGTTATATTTATAAAAAGATGTAACGAATGTATAGACCTCCAAAATACAAGATTTGGCAAGTGGCTAATATAATAGTAACTTAAGTGTCAACAGAATCCAAAAGGCTGTATTAAAGTTTATTGCAATTGATGCTATGAGAAATATAGTTCAATGATGATAAAGTTACACTCAAATCTGTCCAAAAAGGTTGATGGAAGTTTCTGAGTGATATATTTAAGCAATATATTACGAAATATACGCATAACAGTGTACTTCAGAGATGGTAAAAATAACAGTTATGTTTTAGCTGTACTTCAGTTGACCAGTGGTAAAAAAAGTCAAAGCTTATTCAGAAGTGATGATTCTGAAAAGGGAAAGCATGAAAAACAGAAAAATTAAAAAAAGGTTTAAATTGCATTGTCGATATTATATTTCTCAAGGTTCAAAAGTAATACCTGCATTGCTGATGTATCTGAAGTTCTCGTGAGATGTTGCACGTCCATGTTAGTTACTCCTCCACTGAAGTTCTCTTGGGGTGTTCCAGATACATTAACTGTTTGATATTGCCTAGGAGATAAATGCCTAGAGGCTAATGGAGTATCGAGTAAATTAGCATGCAATCTTCGAGATGTATTGTGTGTTTGTTGTAGCACTGGAAGAGCCTGAACTGCAACAGGAGCGTATCTGGGTGCAGGCCTTCCAGCTATCCTCTCGTTTACATTATTAACAGCTGGAAGAGCATTGACTGCTAATTGGGTTTGATCGACGAGGGGAGAAACAGCGTCTGACTGAACAAAGTTGCTCAGCATAGGCGGAAGTGTTTGTGAACTTCCCATGTGAAGAGATCCAGCAGGAGCTACAGATCCATTAGTGGCATAGGACGATATGAATGGTGGTTGTATACTGTTTCCTGGCTGATAGACTGGTACCTGAGTAGCATTGGATGTATTGTTGGCAAGAAACTGAGGCACTTGATTAAATCCAACCTCAATGAAAGGTTTCCTGTCTTCAGCTTCTGATATATGGTCGTAAGTCTGGCTTGCACAACCATTTATGAATAGCTCTTGTCTTAATGTCTGTGTTATGTCGCAATTGTCATCTTCTTCGTCCATTGTTAGATCCACAGGATCTGCCATTAAAATTTTAGATTTATTTGTTTCAAATTCCTTGCTGACAGTTTGATCATGAACCTGGTCATCATGATGACCATCGACTACATTCCATGTCCCATCAGCACAAATAACAACTTCAGCAACATCTTCTCCCACCTCCTCTAATATCTAAAACAACAAAACACTTGGTTATTTTGAGTCACATATTCCCCACTAGTCATATTTATTACTTACCTTAACCATATTTTGGTCAATCCGTAAGTCAATCATGCAGACAGGCTGGTTACAATGAGGGCAACGCCAGTTTGGCTTCCTTGAGTTTATTTCCAAGAAGTTGTCATAATCAAAACACTGTAAATACAAAATTGTGTCATGCAGCTTTTGATACGTCGCAAGAAACTAATTCAATGAGATTCATTAAAATTCACCTGGTGGTGCTTGCAAAGATGACCCTTAACCGGAGTTTTCATTCTTGTTAAACTGTATTTAAAAATGTCTTAATATCCAGATTAAAGAAATAAGTAGGGCGCCAAACAAAAAGTAAAATAAAAAATCTCAAGGCAAAATTTGTTCTTGCATCTAGTAAAGTATAGCTTTAATTATGACAGTTACTGTAATATGGGACAAAGTAAACAATGCTAACGTGCTCGCCCATTCTACTCAAATAATTTCAGTTTTACCTGGGATGTGAACAGAGAACTGCAAGCTCCAGCAACTGTGAGAGTGGAGCTATCACAAGCACGCACTAAGCAAACCAACTTTCGTGCACTCATCACCCAGATATAATAACTTAAAAAATTTTTAAGGTGCGTGCGTGATTATTAAAGGAAAATATTGGCATGCTTTGCTCATAGAAGAGGATTCCCTATTTATAGTTTGCTCTTCTTATGGTTGCTGCTGCTTGTGATGCTGGAATTAGCCAGTACTGATAAATGTGGATTGATGTTTGCGACATTTAAAAATAAAAAGTGCAAATATCTTTCAACTCAAGTTCACAAGCAGATTTTAAGATCTAGAAATAATAAAGCAAATCTCCAAACTCGACATTACATGCCTCTGCTCATGATACCAAACAACTTCACATACATGTCACAACAAAATGATTAAAAAGAAATAAAAAATAATGGAACCAATTCAAAAATACAAGTAAAAAAAGAACGGCATCAGAATCTAAAGAAAAAGAATGCTTAGTAGCATCGTAGTATCAAACCAACTAATAAGAAACAAAAAAAAAAGGACATAATGGCATAGGATATGAGATTTTGGAAAAGATGAACATTGATATTGCTTTCTCGAACAAAATAGTCCCTAGATGCCAACAAATTGGAAATTTGGTGTTCAAGACATAAACATTACAAGGAAATCCAGATATTCGAGTTCTCTTGTTTTATATTGTGTTAAATTTTGCTCCAATCATATCAAAGAACTTAAAGCATATATATCATGGCCTTTGTACAATTGACCTGTTTACTTATAACCCTCGGATACCAAATAACTTAAGGCACACATATCTAGCTACAATACCGTCACAAATGTCTCTCTATGATCCTCAGATTGTAATTTGTGTGCTTTTCTAAAGGATTGTCAGCCCTTATTTACTTTTCCTTCTTTTTTTTTTTTGTTTTATTCATATTTTGTAATGCCTATAACATATTTAACAATATCTTCTCTCTTGTATAAAGAAAAATCAAAACTTGTGAGAGTTTTTCCATTGTTTTATTCGCTACATCGTATTAGAGGAAGGTTAGGGTGTTTCCTCCCCCTTTGTTCTTATTTTCTAATGTTAGGATTTCCATTTCTACCCTTTGTTCTTATTCTCTATCCTTAGGATTTCCAATTCCAACCTTTATTATTATTCTCTAAGGTAATGACTTCCACTTCCAAAATTGTCTCTCTTGTCGAACTATCCCTCTATTCACTATGTCAGGGTTCTTTTGACTTCCCTTCAAAAGAATCAACCATAATTAATGATGAAAACAAATCAAAGGAGTAATCCAAGTATTTCAAACAACTTATCGCTTGAATGAGAAAAATTACCTTAAATGATCCCAAATCGTGAAGATATTTTTTAAGGGAAAGAAAAATATCCAAGGAAATCCAGATATTCGAGTTCTCTTGTTTTATATTGTGTTATATTTTGCTCCAATCATATCAAAGAACTTAAAGCATATATATCATGGCCTTTGTACAATTGACCTGTTTACTTATAACCCTCGGATACCAAATAACTTAAGGCACACATATCTAGCTACAATACCGTCACAAATGTCTCTCTATGATCCTCAGATTGTAATTTGTGTGCTTTTCTAAAGGATTGTCAGCCCTTATTTACTTTTCCTTCTTTTTTTTTTGTTTTATTCATATTTTGTAATGCCTATAACATATTTAACAATATCTCCTCTCTTGTATAAAGAAAAATCAAAACTTGTGAGAGTTTTTCCATTGTTTTATTCGCTACATCGTATTAGAGGAAGGTTAGGGTGTTTCCTCCCCCTTTGTTCTTATTTTCTAATGTTAGGATTTCCATTTCTACCCTTTGTTCTTATTCTCTATCCTTAGGATTTCCAATTCCAACCTTTATTATTATTCTCTAAGGTAATGACTTCCACTTCCAAAATTGTCTCTCTTGTCGAACTATCCCTCTATTCACTATGTCAGGGTTCTTTTGACTTCCCTTCAAAAGAATCAACCATAATTAATGATGAAAACAAATCAAAGGAGTAATCCAAGTATTTCAAACAACTTATCGCTTGAATGAGAAAAATTACCTTAAATGATCCCAAATCGTGAAAATATTTTTGAAGGGAAAGAAACATATCCAACACCTTGTGGATCTATCTCTGGAGCCCAAAGACCCCAAATTGTTACTCGGGGAAGAAATTGATTCAATGATCATGACATGGGTGTGTAACATAATACTGCCGGAAATCAATAGGGCTTTTATTTTTCTCTCATAACAAAAATATGTTATGAACTTATCGAAAGAAACAAAGATGAAGTGCAAGCTGAGTGAAACTTTGATTGAACCAAGACAAAAATTAGAATTCGATAAAAAAAATTGGTGTGGATAGGAGACAATATCAAAGGAAATCAACTAGCCAACATATTCACCGAAGACTTTACAACCCAACATTTAAAAGTATCATAAGTACACTTGAAATGGTAAATTTCTACCATCCAGTTTGAAAAGTGTTAATTTTTTGTTCCAATCATAGCAAAAAACGATCAAGGCTTTGTACCGTTGATTTGTTTACTAATTAGTCTCGAATAGCAAAGAGCTTAAAGCACACAGATCGAGGCTCTATACTGTAAAAATGTCTATCTGACCCTATCCTTAAGTATTTATAAAGGATTGTCTGCCTCTATTTATTTTTCCTTTCTTTTTTTTTTTTGTTTTGTTCTCATTTTGCAATGCCTATAGGAGATGTATATATATCATTTTATGTAGAACACATTGCATTTCAAGAAAAATGAAAACTCTTGAGAGTTTTTCCATTTATTTTATTTAGTACACATTGCTTTTCAAGCAAGAGGAAAAAATGTGCTTGTTGACCTCATTTTTGGTGAGGTCTCTTCTTCTTAAAGCCTAGAGTCTAGGCTTTGTTCTTCTTGTTGGACTCTCTTAGAAGACTAGTTTGGGACCCGCACCAACTAGAAATTCGAACCACTTCTTGACTCATTGCAGTTTAATATGGGTGGTTCTAAATCCTCAACATTTGGTTGAGTCAATTAAAACTAACGTAACGAAACTCAAGTCGAGTGCCCATAAGATCTAAAGTCTTAGGAAACCCAGACTTTCACGCGCTCTCACGATGTGCGAGTACCATAATTCACGCGTTCAATGTAAATAAATATCAAAATTCACGTCATCTGCACCTGTAGAAAGCTTCACGATTGATCAGACTTGAATCAATTGCTGGAACAATCAAACACCAACCAAAATTTTGTCGGAAATTGAATTTGACTTATTTTTAACCTGATTGTCGATGAAGTCGTCTGGATGATCACGGATGACGAAATAGACTACGTCGATGCGTCCGAGATGTCGAATTTAGCTAAGAGGAACACTCATTTTGATATAGTTTCGTGCACAAGCGCAAAATGCGTAAATCGGGAGGATTTTAAGTAATTAAATATTATAAAATTAACAACAATAAAAAAGGTGTCTTTTTTATTATTTCCTTCCCTAAATCCCTAAATAAATCGATCCTTCCACCGGCCTCCTTCCCGATCGCAGACTAGATCGAGTTCTTCTCTCCCGATCCTTCTCCTTCGACCCAAGCGCTGACCTAGCCGCACCATTTCCCCTCGTCGGCCCAAGATCCTCATCACCTCTTTCTCTCTCGCAGTGCATCGAAGAGAAAAAGGGGAAAGGGTGCATCGCTCTCTGCCCGAAGTCATGCTTACCGAAACTTCACTTGCTTCATCCCTCACGATGTCAGGCCTTCGTGGCCTAGTTTTCTACTCGAGTAAGCGTTGACGCCATGAATTTGTCCCTCGAGACATTAAGTTGGTAATTCCATTTTCTTCCCGATGCTTCTCTCCCTGTTTCCACTCTCTCTACTTTCTGCTTGTTGCCTCCTCCGGTCTTGGTCGCGTTCAGTTCACCACTGGTAAGGTGAAAGTAGGTTCCTTCCCCACTTTTGGAAATAAAACCCCATGTTGAGGGGGAGATGAGGTTGTTGAAACTTAGGCAAGTGGTTGAAATTCTGTTAGAGCCTCGACTGTTGGAAGCCTCCTACAAGGATCTGTTGGTTTCGGGTAGAACTTGAGCAAGGTAAGCCCTCTCCTCTCTCAGAGTATCTGAGACTACTTCTACATGCTTTACTACCTAGTTGTTTTCCCTGCTTTCCATGTTGATCGTACTTTGATTTGAAGTTGCTCACGTTGATTAACTGTTCCAAACGACGACTTTAATTTGGTGATAAATTACCTAGTACCGCGTCAATATTTGAAAATGATGATCTTGTACAGCATGTTGGAGGATCTGTTTGGGGCCATGGATTGATATCCCAGGCTTTACGAAAACATTGGCTGCGAATTCAAACACTTTTTTTTTATTTAATTTCTGTCATTCAGAAGGTTATTGATAAGGATCTATCTCAAATGGAACCCATGAAACAGAATCCTAGCTAAAAAATGATCTCATCGGTTGAGCCAAGGATAAGGATTTTTGTTATCTACTGGTTCAGGAGGCCATCAAATGAAGATCCAGCTCATATGAATGGCACTACTTTGTATAAGAATATTTCTCTTCTATCAGTGGTGGGTCGTGGGTTATAGGCCCAATACCTCTGCTACCACCACATATCCGAGCCTTGAAAAATTTAGATCATATATAACACCACCCAATGCTATCCATCTCCAATTTATTGAGCTTATGAAGCAACGAGGGTAGCTCCTGCAAACTTGGCACCTCTCATGATAAAGGCCACCTCTAATGGTGGAAGAGTTATTTTTAGCCACATGCATGTACTCTA